TTTTTCTTTTTCTTTTTCTTTTTCTTTTTCTTTTTCTTTTTCTTTTTCTTTTTCTTTTTCTTTTTCTTTTTCTTTTTCTTTTTCTTTTTCTTTTTTCTTCTTTTCCTCCATTCCTGTGCGGTTTGGGGGTACTTGTTCTTTCTCTCTCCGAGGCGGACGGCGCGGCGGGGCCGCGGGGCATCCTGCAGCCGCCGAGGGACAAGCGTGGCCGGTCCTGGCTTCAGGCTGAGTGAAGTTTTTCCACCCCGTGGGCACTGCGGCGGACGCTCCGGGTCTTCCCTCTGGAAGCGGCGGGTGCGGAGGTGCCCGGAGCCGCGGGAGGAGCGGCCCGCGCTTCTCCGCGGGGTGCGCAGGGCCGCGGGCAGGGGCGGTGTCCAGGGATGCTCCCGGGGCCCGCTAGCCCGCGGCTCGCTCGGCGGCGGCCGCCGCTTTCGAAACGCCCGCGGGCCGTTTGCGGCTGCGAATAAGGTCTCGCCTTGCAGCACGAGCCACTTCATCGAGGGGATTGATTAACCGCAGGATTTCGATAAAATGATATCACCAAATGCGGGAGTGTTTAGCGGCGTATCATGTCCATCGAGAACTTTGCACTCCAGGGTGCAGTCCCATCAAGATAGCAGGTCGTTTTCTGCAGGCTGCACCTGCTGAGCAATACTTTCTAGCTCCGGGTTTCTCTCTTTTCCTTCTCTTACCTATTCCTTCCAGAAATGGAAAAGGGGATATCCGAGCAAACGAAAAAGGTGCTCGGTAAAGGCAGGAGCCGCGCGGGCAGCCCCGGCGGCGGGTGCAGCCCGTGTGACACGGGGCACGGCGTCCCACCTCCAGCGCCTGGCGCGGGGCCCGGAATACCTGTTACAAATAGCAAATGATGTCCCCCCCCACCTTGCCTCTGCCCGCTCCCCGTGCTCCGGGACATTATTTAGGGGGGTGACCATTACCTCAATGGTCGAGCTGGCAGCCAAGGGGAAAGGCGGTCGTCACGAAGGAGTGACATTATTGAATAGGTCTCGTGTCTTGGCCCCGGGCGCTGACCCGCTTCCCGCCCGCCCCTCGGTGCTTCCCCCGCCACTCGGCCCGGCCCGCAGCGCCCAGCGCCGCTCCGCTCCGCCACTCACTTCTAAGAGGCTCCCGGCTGCTGCAAACACACTAAGGCCGATGAGGAGAACATGGGAAACATTCAGCAAACTTCTGCTCTCTCGCTCTCTCTCTCTCTCTTTTTTTTTATTTCTTTCTCTTTTTTTTTTTTTTTTTTTTCCTTTTCAACGGAATCCAGTAAAAACAGGCTAATCTTGTAGGAAATACCTGGAGCTTGCCAAGGAAATGCTTTTCGCCCCGCGATGCGCTTGGAGCTGACAGCCCCCTTTTTTTCCCCCCCTTCCTTCCTCCTCCTGGCCGCCGTGGTTTGCAGGACGCTCCGCGGGGGCCCCGCGGCGCCCTAGGTGAGGGGTGCAGCGATGGGGGGGTAGGAGGACGAGCGGCTGCCGGAATCCCCTCGCTGGGGCCGAGGCTGCTCTCGCATCCTCGGGGCATGAGGACCGCCCCTTTTGTTTGGTTTTGTTCGCTTTATTTTGTTTTGTTTTGTTCTCCTTCCCCTCTGCCTCCCGCCAGAAGCTCGCCTTTTACTCCAAAATGCAAGAGGCGCCGGAGAGCGGCAGCAGCGCCAGCACGAGCAGCTCCTTCTCCAGCCATGCCGCGGCCAGCATCAAGGAGGAGGAGGGCAGCCCCGAGAAGGAGCGACCCCCCGAGGCCGAGTACATCAACTCGCGCTGCGTCCTCTTCACCTACTTCCACGGGGACATCAGCGCCGTGGTGGACGAGCACTTCAGCCGGGCGCTCAGCCAGCCCAGCAGCTTCTCGCTGGGCAGCGCGAAGGCGGCGCGGAGCGCGGGATCCTGGCGGGGTGAGCGCGGGGCAGCGCGCAAGGAAGCGCGCAGGGAAGCACGCAGGGTAGCACGGGCCGTTTGCCTCCCTGAGCGGGGGCTGCAAAGCGACGTGAAGCTCCGCGAAATCTCCAGGGTTGTTTCTCCAAGCTGCGGGTCCTGCCGCGCCAGTTTCGCCCCCTCCCGACTCTTGGGGACACCCTGATGGCACCCGGAGTGAGACACCCCATAGTTTCTCCCCTGCCTTCTCAGCCGCCCAGTGTTGGCACTTTGGGATTTTCGGGGGCCCTCCCTGTCAAGGCTCCCTGCCCAGCCCAGCACCCACCCCAGCATTTCCCAGCCTCTCTGTGGATTCATGCTGGTGGTTAGGAAGGCTGAAATACTACTTGAAATATTTCACGGGTGAAAGATATTCGGCACTGGAATTGCCGGCAGGAGAGGAGATTTCCATGCCCGTAATGAACCGCTTCCCTTTCTGCTGAGCATTGCCAGAGTCATGGAGCTGGCGGACCTCCCGGGCAGATGTGTGTTACCAGCATGGCTTTTATTTGTCTCCAGCATGCACAGCATTCCCGATCAATAATGCTTAACATCTCCATCCTCGCTACTAATATTCGCTATTTCATCTTGCTTGCTGCTCAACTAGCGAAGAAAATGTAGCCTTTGCCCTGCCAGCCCTAATCAGATCTGCAAAATGCTTCCCAAATATATGCTAATATATACCCGAGATATGGGCATAAGTCCAGTGAAATACATGGGGAAATTGTACCCAGGTGCTCAGCAAATTCAAGCTGATCCCCAGTAAAAATCTCACCCTTGCTCCTGCCCCCTCTGAAACAGTGCTAAGCAGCAAGTGCTTGCTCTGCAGGATTAGGCATCCTCTGAGGTACTGGGCATAAATGAGAAAAATAAGGCAAAAATGATCTTGGAAACTACTGGGGCACAGTAGTTTTCCATTTCTAACTCCACTACTAAGGAAAACAGACATCACTCACCTTAGATGATACATCTTTTCTTTCTTTTTTTTTTTCCCCCCCCCACCAAGAGAAACCTGGAGCAACTTACTGCGGGTTCCTGAATAAGCCCTTGGTCTTCCATGGTCTGCTAGATGTTTAACTGGAAGGCATCTGTATTTGCACAGAGCAATTCTTTGTGCGTGGCATTTGCCTGGGGGATAAGGGGAACCGGAGGCCCTGTTTCTGAGTGAGGTGCCTGGCAAGGGGCAGGGGGCTGGGGAAGGATATGGGTGCTCCTGCTTATTTTCCCCTCCCACTGTCTCCCCCTAGACGGCTCCTTCCCCATGAGCCAGCGCAGCTTCCCGCCGTCCTTCTGGAACAGCACGTACCAGCCCTCATCCGTCCCCGCCACGCTGAGCAGCCCCCTGGCAGCAGCCGCCCACGGCGAGCTGCCCTTTGCCACCGCTGACCCCTACGCGCCGGCCTCGCTGCACGGCCACCTGCACCAGGGCGGCCCCGAGCCCTGGCACCATGCCCACCACCACCACCACCACCACCACCACCCCTACCTGGGCGCGCAGAGCGGCGCCTACCCCCGCCCCGCCACCATGCACGAGGTCTACGGCCCCCACTTCGACCCGCGCTACGGCTCGCTGCTCGTGCCCGCCGCCTCCGTCCGCCCGCACCGCCTCACGCCGGCCTCCGTGCCCGCGCCCGTCAGCCCGCAGTGCGAGTTGGGCAAGAGCGAGGCGGGCGCCGCCGCCGCCGCCTGGACGACGCCGGCACCCTTCCCCAGCGCCACAGGCGACGTGGCGCAGAGCCTCGGCCTCAACGTGGATGCAGGTAAGGGCTTCTCTCAGACCCCCTCGGGGGGACCTCTGCTCGCTTAAGTCACTGTTTAGGTGAGAGGGAGGTAGCCCTCGTGAAGGGGGATCCGTGGTTCTGCTTTGGGGAAATAATGCAGGGGAGAGACTCATGGGAGACACTGGAGCTCTGGCCTGGTGTGCCCCTTGGGAAGCACTTGGGAGGAAGGGGAAGGATAAGGGAACATCAGTTCCCCCAGCACCTTTGGTTTGCTGCAAATGTGCCCTGAAGAAGCGAGTCTCTTGTCCTGGTCCTAACCTTGCTCTTGCATTGAGGAGTAGCAGCAGGACTGAGATGCCTCAAGGGTTTGCTGCCTCCATGGGCCTCCGAGTGCTGACACTCAGGAGCCCATGGAGCCCTCCAGGGTAGAAGTGCTGACACTGGGGTCGGGCTGGGTTACTTTTTCCTGCCCCTTTTTGGAAGGAAAGCACAACGGTAAGCAGGTGCTGCCCACTGAGGTGCCTGGATGCAAGGTGGGGGCCGTGGTGGGGAGGAATGGGGTGGTGACAGGGACACAGGCAGCAGGGGCAGGTCGTTCCGCAGACAGGAAAGCCGGCGCTCGGAGGCATTGCTCCGTGCTGCAGTTTGGCTGCTCCATCCACCCTGGGCTCTTCACGGTGGCCTCGCGCTTGGCAAAACGGGCCGTGTGTCCGTCTCTGCTTTAGCTCGCGCTCTTCTCTGAGCTGCTGTCTTCCAGTGCGGAGGAGTTTCTGGTCTCATGCAGCAGTAATAAAGTTTGTCTTCCTCTGTCCTAAATGCCTATACCTATTTTTCTTCTTCCTTTTTTTTTTTTTTTTTTTTTTTTTTTCTCTCCATTCTCAGGTTTACAGCCTCAGGATAAAAGCAAGGATCTATACTGGTTTTAGAGCTGTCCTTCACTTCTCTTCTCTCGGCTCTCCCCTGTAGATCTCTGCCTGTTAGACATGGTGACATTCAGAGCTGAAATCGGGTCAGTTTGTAACAGCTTCTGGTCTTGGTTTGCAGCTCGACGTTACTCCTTCTGTGGTGGATCCCTTCTGAGCTGATCTGCTGCCTCCTGCCCCCCTTGCCCTTTTCCAAGCCCACTGTGGCCCTGCAACTCGGGAAAAGACAACGGGACTTAAAACAACCTGGCAATGCAAGGATGCTACTTTAGACTCGTTTTGGAGAGGGAAATACTTCTGTTGAAAGAGGAGAGCCAAAGACGTTGAACTTTTATTTAAACAAACTCTGCACCCAGGACTGCAGTCAGACTACTTTAAAAGAGTCAAATGACATTGCAGATGGTGATGCAAAACCACTGGTCTTCTTACAGGGGACAGAGGAAATTTATTTTTTTTTAGTGGTGTGAATATTTTTTTATGGCAGTGAAAATTATTTCTTGAAAGCAAAATGGGAAAACTATTTAGCAAATTTGAACTGGATTTTTACTTTATAGAAGTAAAAGGAGAAGAAATTGGGAAAACATGGACATTCTTGGACAATCAAAAAACCTGTCAGATCTTTCAGCTTTGTGGTTATGAGTGGCAAGTGTCTAGCTTGGGCCACCTGCCTTGGGCTTACAGAAATGCAGCTGTTCCAGGGACAACTGTTCATACTCCAGAAATATGAAAACCAAGGTGGCACTTCTCAGAGTTTGGCACAACATTTGCATCGGACATATATCTGTTGGTTTTTTTTTTTCTATGAGAAATAGTTTATTGTGAAAGAAAAATCCCATTAAAGAAGGGAAAGGGGAGAGAAATGTGAAGAAAAAGCTCCACCCCAACCCGACGGCCTTTAAGGGGAACACCAGAAAAAAAGGCACATAAGGGACTGTAGGTCTGGATTGCCTCTAATATTGCTCTTGTCTATGTGTTGCTGTCATTTTGTCACTTTAATTTTTTTGAAGAGGGAAATAAGATATCTATTTAAATGTAGGAAAGCTACATTAAAAGTGTCTTCTTCTTTCATCCTGTGTGCTTTTATGAGGAATTTGAATTAAACAAGAGGAACGAGGCAAGCTAGAAACGTCAGCTAGAAACCTATAGAGTGGATAAAGTGAATTATTTTATTACTTTGCATTGAACAGAAACCCTATCTGAAAAAAAATAACCAAATATTATCTCAAGGAGAATAAAATATAGCAATAAAGGCAAAAGAAGAAATAAATGCAAGAGTACAGATGAAATTTTAACTATTTAGGGTGGTAAATAATTAATGACAACAATGCAGAAATGGCAATTACTCCCTCTACCTAAATGCTCGCTTTTTATCTGCAAAGAATATAATCTCATCAGCAGCATGTTTTGTTTTGTTCTTCTTTTTTAAAAAAGAAAGTAATGTATTTGAAGACTGACAAAGTTCAGTGTGTTCAGCTGGAGAGTCCTAACATCACCTTTTTGACACTGGGAGAAGCAGCTGCCCTGCAGTAAGAGATGCAGTAGAAAATACATTTTTGTGCTATGTCGGGTGAGTTTGTCACATCCCGATGCTCTGGCACAATGCAGCAGCGAAGATTTGCTGCTAATGTGCACCGCATTTGGCAATGGAGTTATGAATAGTTAACTTGCCTCTCCTAGGTGTCTAGGCTAACTACACCTATGGGAAACAATAGGAATCTTGATAGTGTGAGTGAAATAAAGCAGCATGAGTAAATATTAGGGGAGCTGGCAAGGAGCTGCTCTGGAATACAGCATATGCAGAGCATCCCCAGCCAGAGCCCCTGCTGCAAATGGCAGCAGGTGACTTGCTGTGACTTTTTCAGCCAAACATACCCAGGAGAATTTCTTCCTTAGTCTCCAATTAGACAGATCCCAAACAAGCTGCAAGAGGGCAAGTAAAGGACTTCAGGATTTATAGTGCCAGTTAAACCAAAAATGTTCAGAGGCTCCTGTTATGACAGCAGCAGCATTTTGCAGAGGAAAAGTAATGAAAAACTAACTTTGTTGTTGCAGAAGCTTAGGGATGACAGTAACATTTTGTTAACACCTGCTTGCTGTTTTTTAGACTTTGAAAAGTTTTTTAAAAAATCTGACTCTAGTGCTAACTGTCCTCCATTGCAAAGGTTTCTTTTCTTTTTTTTTTTCTCCTTTCTTTTTTATCCCCTCTCCTTTACAATTCCTGAGGAGGAGGACTGGATAATACAGCCAAAATGTATTTGGAAACGTTCAGTAAACAAAAACCCACCATTTACTTCATTGGCATTTACAATTCCTTTCAACTGTGACCATTTTGAGCATGAGAATTAATGAAACATAGATATGACCACTGGTATCACCACTTGCTCTCCAAGGTCTCATTTATTGCTATATTGTAAAAGCAAGTAAACCCCGAAGTCGAGACTGTGACTTGTCGAGACCGTAAAATAAAAAAGTTGAGACCATATCAGACACTTTAGAAGTCACTCTTAAAAAGTGCTCCTGCTCCGTCAGGAGCAATCTGAAAAATTACATGCCCTGCTCCGGCTAACCCTGCAGAGATTTGCTGCATGTAGGTTATTCTGCAGACCCATGGGTGATTGCCCCTCAGCACCAGCTTAGCTGCTTAATCATGAATGAGGCACAAAAGGAGCAGTTCCTTCATATATGTGTGTGCATATCTATTATGTATATATATATGTATTTGTCTTTTATGCCTCATGCTGGTCATTCAAGAGAAGAGCAGGACCATAAACGCCCAATGCTGCAGCTCCACACGGAGCTTCCCTGTGAAGGTGGCGCCTGGATAAGCGCCGTGGTGCTTGTGCTGGGAGAGCCCGCACACAAACTAGCCCGGCGGCAAGAAGCCCGCGTGTCTCCTGACCTGTGTGCCGAGCCTGGGCGGGAGGCAGAGCCGGGGCCTTCGTGGCAGTGCTGCGGCAGCGGGATCGGGCAGAGCATCTGCCGGGGCTGAGCGTGAGCAACCTTTAAGGGTTTGTAAAGCGAGCTTGGGCTAGATTCGCTGCAGACATTTCTTTCCCGTGTGGAAAATAACTGAAGCTTAGCAAAGCGCAGGGAAGGCACAAGGTAGACACAGTTGGCTAATGCGAGCTAGCTTTAAGATATTGTTTCCTACTTCCTGCCTTCTTTTCCAGTGCTTTTTTTCCATGTGAGCCTCTGGAAGAGGAGGCAGGGAGGAGAGGCAGGGGCTGAATAATCCTCTGCATCTCCTGCGGATTGTGCGCTGCCCATCTCCAGAGAAATGTATCTGCCCTGTCTCCTCCTTAGGTCAGTAGGGGCTGCCATCCCTTCTCACTTTCCCCTTTGAAGTCCTATTTAAGTTCATGACAAGCTCTAGCGAGGGCTTAAAGGTTGGTCCCTTCCTAGAACGGATGAAAATGCTACGGGTGGTTTTGGGTGCATCAGGAGTGTGTGAGTGACAGTTCTCATGCACCTTTTTCTGGACAGGGGTTGTAATTAACATGCCCTTTTGATGGCAGGAAGGCGAGCCAGCTCCTCCAGGGCACTGCGGTGTCCTGGCTGGCTTCCCTGGCCTGCCACCCAGAGGAGCAGTCGCAGCAGGAGAAGGAGATGGACTCTGCAGTGTGATTATTTGCAGGACTGAGGTATTTATTTGATAGGTTAGGTGATTTTTCATAGGGAGGTAGGAGAAATAAAGGGCAGTGAAAGAAAAGGGAGGGAAAAAAAAAGAAAAAAGAAAAAAAGAAAAAAAAAAGGAGAAAAGGGAAAAGAGAGAAAAGGAAAA